GCCGGTCTCCCGGAGACGTGGAGCTCCCTGACCCATGGTGAGAGTAGGGAAGGGGAAGAGGGGGAAGCCGATGGGGATGGCAGCACGAGAGGGGCGACTGCACCTGGTGGCCACCCATCTCCCATTCAGGGTGTAGGAAGAAAATCAGAGACAGGTTGAAAGAGAACAGAATGAGATTGTGATGTTCCAACGTGCAACATTGAGTTACCATTATGCCGAGATTGGACTGCCTGCATTGTGCCGTGGAAATTGAAGTTTCTGAAGCTATGCGCTGTCGAACTGAAGTTCCCGAAATAGCACACCGTCGAAATTGAAGCTTCTGTGGGGGAAGCCTATTTCTGAACTCAACTTGATGAAATAACGAGTTCACATCGATTCATGTAACCTTTTAAAGTTCTGTCGACTATGAAGCGCGACATGAACAAATTACTTCGTACGATCAACTTCCAGCTCGTCATGACAGGTATCAACTCGCACCAGAAGAGAATATCAATTTTGATTTCTCATTTCGCAAAGACCATTCATGCGACTTTGTAAAAGTAACAAACCAGTGCTCCACATTGAAAAGAGCGCAATCCTTCATCTCTAACCATCAATGCTAGCAGTGACTGATAGCCATAGCCTAGCTTGCCGTATCCCGAGTTGTCCTTTTCTGTCCCCTACCACAAAATCAACCTCGATTGCGGATTTTCCTCTCTGTCTCTGCCAGAGATTTTCTGGCATTGCCTAGCAGCTGCGGCCTACTTTCCTATGCTTTGAATTACCTCGTCCGATTCTAGCGTGATAAGAGGTTCAACCGAGGACGTTGGTGACTGATAGCCAAAGCCTAGCTTTTTATTTACTGAGTTGTCTCCTGCTCCCTTCTAGCCTGGGATTGGTTTTGATTGAAAATCACTTTGTGTACAGTCATCTTCATGGTCTGATGCAGGGCGCTTTTCTCACCTGGATTTACTCAGTTGATTTTTATAATGGCTGAGAAACAGAGTTTACCAGTGGTCCTCTCTATGGGTGCTTATCCATTCACCTTTCTCGAGTGGTTGAGTATCATAGCAATCATGCTCCTTTGTGCACCTATCATTTTGACTGGTATGGCGCTATGCTGGGTGGTTCAGAAGCTTCAGGGCCCGATTTTCAATATGGGCTATCCTTATAACCTCAAGCCAGTGAGAGCTTCTCGCGAGGAGTATGCTGTTGTTACTGGTGCATCCAAGGGTATGGGCCGTCAGTTTGCCATGAAGTTGGCGAAAGCAGGGTGGAGTCTTGTGATTGCCGCTCGTAACGAGAAGTTGTTAAACGAGTTGAAAGATACTTTGGTGAAGACTTACGGTCCGAGTTGCAAGGTTGCCGTTGTTCCGTGCGATTTGTCCTGTGATGAGG